TGATGATCACGCGTTGATCCAGCGTCTAAACTTGTTTTGTTCTATGAAGTATAGATAGTGTTATAAAAAAGAATTATTTATGGCGTATGACTTTTTCAACTTAATTATACATTTTTTTAATAAACCAGAACGAATTTAAGAAAATTTATTGTCCATTTCCACTAATTTTTTGACGATCTTTTCAAATCTGTTATTATTATTTATGAACGTTATTTGGTAAAAAAGTTAGCTTGCTTTTGACACATTTGTACAGGAATCCCTATGTCGTATCTTATAAATAACACAGTGTATGTTAGATTCAGGCGTTATCCTGGACGTTAATACTTCCACTGAAAACGTTTCAATGCAAATATTTTAACTTTGACTTATGAGATATTTGCTAATAAAGCTTTAACTGGAGAAAATTCGTTACTTCTATAAGGTCGCTTTAAAGAACGCTTAAAGGTTATTAAAATGTGGTGCAACGAATCAAGAACGTTAATGTAATATTAAAGCCCTATTAGCTTAATGGTCCCTTAAAAATAAGTCGGTGCAATCGGCCGTAAATCATTTAAATGTGTCATCAACTCATAGAAATGACTATGTTGTATTGAATTCCTCCTGTATACTTACATATCTGTAAGTATTTATAAATGAAAGTATATTTGAAATTCATAAAAAGACCATTACTAAGAAATATCGCGTATTAGATACCGATATTACTAATAGGCAATTTCAAAACTTGGAGAGTACTAAATGATTCTAGACAATTCTAAGTGGTTCTCGAATATTCTAATTTGTCCTGAAGCGATCTAAATGATTTTGGATAGTCCTAAATTGTTCTAAACAGTTCTAATTCTAAACAAACGGTTCTAAATCATTCAACTCATAGAAATGACCATAATAACTTTATCTGTATAGTGTTAATAAATGAGAGTATAACTGAAAATATTATCTGTAAATATAAAAAAATGTCACGTCGTAGAAAGTAATATTATTTGTGTTAGAAAAAAATATGTTTCACACAATGTAATAAAATAATACTTACGTCTTCCTTGTAGTTGAAGTTCAAATAATAAACGAAGAAATCCTTGAGGAGTTTTTCTAACGTGTCCGGATACGGAGTAATGTGATTTATCATTTCTTCCGTAGTCATTGTGTAAGTAATGGCTTCCCAACCTGCAAAATTATTCAAAAAATGTATTATAAATTGCTCTAGCATGAAAAAAAAGTATTAACTATACACACATACAGGGTGTTCCAAAATAACATGCTAATATTTAAGGGGGTGTTTTTATTTTAAGAAAAAAACTTAATATGCACCTACAGTGCACTTCTTTAATGTCCCCCCCTTTTTATTTTTTGAACTGATCAACTAAGAAAATTGAAATTTGAGATAATGAAACTAATGCATGATTACTATATTTTGGAGTAATATTGACAGATGAAAATTTCAAGATGGCGACTGGGCGCCATTTTGGGAAATAAATTTAAATGGAAAGGGGGGTCTTGTGATACATCATTTTGACGCTCCTGACAAATACTCTACAACCCTGGAATATAAAGTCAATATCTGCACCTGCTACAAAATAACGGACATTTAATAATTACCTGAATACATCGACGTTTTATGTCATAATTTGAGGAAATAAGCTGAGTTCAGTTCAAAAAATGCTCGAAATGGTTGCCTTGAACTTCTTGATATAAGAACAGCCTATCCGAATTTTTCGAACATAGTAACGTCGATATTTCTACAAATATCTGTAATTATTTCTCGTATATCCAATATTGAAGCAGGTTCAGTTTCGTACACTTTTTGCTTCAAATAGCCCCATAAAAAAAGTCTAAAGGTGTCAAATCTGGCGAGCGGGCTGTCCATTCCGTAGGACCTCGACGACCAATCCAATGACCAGGGAAAATAGCATCCAAATAATTATTTACTTGTCTGGAGTAATCTGGTGGTGCTCCATCTTGTTGGAATACAATATTCATATCGAATCCATATCCATATCGGTACCTAACTACAATGAGAACTAAACAACCGAAAACTAAATAAAAATATTTTGAACACTAGGAAAATCGAAAACTAAAGAGAATATTTTGAACATTAGGAAAACCAAAAACTCAATGAGAATATTTTGACTAAAAAATTAATGTTCGTTGACGTACTTAAATATTTTGGAATTTTTTTAACCAAAAATAACCTGTCAAACCTTATCGGTTTGTTGGGATTGCTATTTAGCATAGAAAAACAAATAATTCTAAAAAAATTTATATTAATTTGTTTGTATTCAGGTATTTATTAAATGTTCCGCCATTTTGTAATGGGTGCAGATATTGACTTTATATTCCAGGGTTGTAGAGTATTTGTCAGGAGCTTCAAAATGACGTGTCACAAGACCCCCTTTCCATTTAAATTTATTTCACAATATGGCGACCAGTCGCCATCTTGAAATTTTCATCTGTCAATTTTACTCCAAAATATAGTAATCATGCATTAGTTTCATTATCCCAAATTTCAATTTTCTAAGTTGATCCGTTCAAAAAATAAAAAGGGGGGGACATTAAAGAAATGCACTGTATATTAATATACAGGGTGTTCCATTTGAAATAACAAAGTTGATGCCTACTTCTGGTACAACCGGATGTGGTACCACTGTCAAAATATTTTTAAGATGTTCGTCGTATTGCAAAACATATGTATACCAAATTTTATTAAAATCAGATAAGTAGTTTCCAATATACATATAGTTTAAGCTCGTCCTGACACACCCTGTATACCAAATAATATTTAAATCGGATTAGTATTTTTCCTATATACAGATAGTTTGTAACTCGTCGTAAGACACCCTGTATAATTAAAACTATATACGAATACGTACCATCTATGAGTATAGGCGGAGCAGGATTTAGTTGTCTCAATTTATTAACGGAAAATAAATAACCATTCACTTGCATATAAAATATGGCCATTATTGTAATTGCATAAGTCGGAATTTTTTTCTTCAATTGATTCGTTTGGAACCATTTCTTCAACACCAAAATCAATTTTTGAGTGATCGGCTGCAATTCCAAGCACAATCTGAAAATTGAGAGTTTGTTTCATTTAATAAACGATAAATGAATAATGAAAGACTGGGGTATTTTATTTATGATAAAAATTACATTTTTATTGATACTTCTAGAATATTTCCCGGTATCCGTATCCGGATACACTATCCAGATATCCGGATAATAGGTATGAGTTCTGTAGCTCAATTCTCGACATTTATTCACATGGGAATAAAAAAATTTTGACATGTGAATTAAAAATTTTGGTATTCTCGACAAAATCACGTGAATGTTTTCACACAAATAGTGTACGAATATTTTCACATGGGTATATCTGTGTGGATTTGAAATTTCCAATAGAATTACTGAAATGATTTGCGCAATTGTGGTTGTGTCAAGTTCTGTCGCTATTTGTTATATTGTTTTTTGATAAACTTAAATATGAAAGAAGCAGCTCTTCTTAATTTATAAATGTTAGAAGAGGCCGAGATATTAGTTCATAATTCTAAAAATGAAGCATTTACTTTGAAGTAAAAGGTGGAAGCGAAAAGTAAGGGATAAAGGTTTTAAAACCTTAAAAAAAGGTATTAAGGTTTTAACACCTTTCGCTTTAAAGCAACAGAAGGATCCTTGAAGAAAAACCTCTCTTCCTTCACTTCTTTTTATGCATACCTTAAACCAATTCCTTTATTTGTTGAAAGCAAAAGGTGCTTCTTTTATAAAAACGGTCTATTTACCAACCAATATAAGATAAGTTTAATAACCCAGAGAGTTTTGGTCAAAGTGGAATTCTGGAGATCCTTTTACCACTTTAAATCCAGTGATTAATAAAAAATACAGTGAATGTAAAAATAAATAAGTAAATACAGTGGTAAACAATTTATAGCGTTATTCAGGCAAAGAAGTAATATCAAATTTTATTCGAGAACTTGAAGGTCTCTTAGAGTCACCATTAATTAATAATTGTTTTTGAGCTTCATATATCTAGAGATATCAACAGAATGTAGGTGTTATAGTATACAAATAGTATAGTTCTCGTATAGTAACAAAACATGAAGATGAAACAAAATTTAAATAAGACATGACAAGTTTGCTGTTAATGGTGTCGCATAGTCAGGAATGTCAACATAACAAATTTAAAATGGTGAATTGTGATTGGCTAAATATACTGCTCCACAAAAGTTAAGGAAGTTCACAAATATTGAGATTAATTTAAAAGTTGCAGGTTTTTTGATCGCCAAATTTAGTATGAGTTATAGAGGTAGGGGCAAAAAATTCACTCAGATATGAGAGAAAACATTTAATTTCGCATATTTGAAAATTTGGTGATCAAAAAGTCTGTAACTTTTAAAATAATCGCAAAATTTGCGAACTTCCTTAACTTTTGTGGAGCAGTTTATCTAGTTAATATTAGACGTACAGGGTGGTCCTCTAAGAACGGCTCTCGGCCATATCTCGCAAACTAATTGTCGTAGAGACTTGCGGTAAAAAATCTTATAACTAAATCGGCCAAAAGAAAATGCTGGAAATAATTTTATTAACATTTATTAGTCAAAATATTCAAACCACCCCCACCACTTTATTTTAAAAGATAGTCAAAAATATATAACAAAAAATAATCGAAAATATCTTAACTATCAAAATAAAACACATTTTTGATACCTTTATTTAGGAAAATTTTGAAAAAAATGACTTAAAAATCAAGATGGCGGATACTCCCCCTAGCGGCCATTTTAGAGACTTAAAAATGATTTCCAGCATTTTCTTTTGGCCGATTTAGTCATAAGATTTTTTACCGCAAGTCTCTACGACAATTAGTTTGCGAGATATGGCCGAGAGCCGTTCTTAGAGGACCACCCTGTACGTATCAAAACTGTTTCCATGTGAAAATATATTCCACTATAACCAAGAATACTGTGTCAGACAAGCTCGTGAATAAATGTAGTTAAATTATTTCACATGTGAATTTTTCACGTGAAGTCGAGAATTGAGCCCCTGAGTAGCATTCGACTAGAATTCTACAAAAAATTCTGTGACATTTTGCAATTTATTTCAATAAGTAAAAAGTTTTCGATTGTCAGGTACAGGTCTACGAATTTACCATGGCACCTGGGGAAAATATTTTCTGCGCGAAGTAAGGGTCAGTGTGCGACAAGGATAGCATTCGGAATAGAGAGATGGATATACAGATAGTGAACGTAGTCGCATTTTACTCGACACTTTGCATTAAACGGACTCAGGGATAATTGGGATTTTCGAATGCAATTATAAAAATTATTTAATACCGTTATTTATTAGAGATTAAATTCAATTAGCTTACTTATATTGAATGCAAATCTCAATATGTATAGAAATTGTAATTCGGTGATGTTAAATTAGTTTACTAAGAATAATTATTGCGTTCGCATTCAAGCCCATCAATTTTAAACCGGATTAATTAAATATCAATCAAATATAATAATAAATCTTAATATTAATCTTATACGGGGAATAATTCATTATTGGATTTATAGGAAAATAACATAACAATGAAAATGGGTTTTTCAGAGCCACGAATCTAAAATTTTAGGAATTTCGCTCCCTTAATACGGCTCTGTACTTAGATGTTTAAGCGTAGACTGTCTGAACAGACTGAGTGCGGAGCGTAATTTAGGGACGAATCTACGGCGCATCTAGGGGGTGGAGCATCTCAGGTGCCATGGTAAATTCGTAGACCTGTATGTACTAATCATAAAAAACATGCGGTGTTCGCAGATACTCGTATGCTTCATTTTGTTATAAGTTTTGTTACAGTAGGTTTGTTCCACGGTTTGTAGAATAAGACGGTTACCTCACTTTGCTGGCAAAAGTGGGGCGGAATACGTCACCAGTATGCTAGAGTTTGCTTGAGCCTACTAATCGTTACGAGTTTTCGTAGTTTTCTTCGTAGTTTTCTTTTGTTGTTGATGTTAATTGTGGTTTCTGTTGAAGTTTTTTGAGTTTTCGTGTTTTTTTTTGTTGTGTTTAACTTTTTAGTAGTATATCAGACTATTTACAGACTATTTTCAATAATTATATAGTTCTAAACATTATATATTTCTTTCATCGCGGAGAGTCAGGTAAATATAAAAATTGTTACTACATGATTTGAAATTATTTTTTAATATTTTTCTAATATTCTATCGTAGAAATGATTGGAACAGTTTGTTATGTGGCTACTTGTAGAAGTAATGGTGAATTTTAAAGGGCAAAAAAGGAAGGAGAATTAATAAGATTTTTACTTTCCCCAAAAAAAAAAGAAAGTTTTGAAACTAAGGCATTTACCCTAAGATATTTTAGCAAACGTGCCTATATTTATGTTAGAGAAACATTAAAATATCCATTGCCAGGTATATCAACACTTCAAAGATGGGCATCAAGCATCGACTTACAACAGGAATATTGAAAGATGTCCTAAAAATAATGAACATATCTGGAAGGGATAAAACTAATTTCGAAAGGGTGACTGTACTTTCTTATGATGAAATTAAAGTAGCATCGCTTATAGAATATGACCAAAAGCTTGATAAAATTTTTTATTCATATTTATTCGTTTCATCTCATATCGTTTAATTATTATAATTTCTCGTTTATTTATATTTTTATAATGTTTATTTATATTTACTTTGATATAAATATATTTTGTCGTAATATTTTGTTTTATTTAAGAATTTAAGGCCCGAAATAACTATAATAATATGTACCGTTTAATAGGTATACAAATAAACCATTTATCATTTAATTCAAAAAATACCGTCTCCTTTTAAATTTTAATATATTTATGAAAAATATACTTTTATTAGTTATTATTCCTGTCCATTGTCTCTATTTTTATAATATTTTACCCTGTAAATATTATTAAAAACATTATTTTCATAATACTTGAAATGCTCGAAATTTGCCACTCGAATTCTTGTGACGTCACGAGAGGCCGTACGTGATTGGCTAAAAAGTTACGAGACAACCGTATTATTCTACAAACCGTGGGTTTGTTCCAACTCAAGTAAAAATCATAATAATATGAGATTTTGCTGAATAGTGGGAGGCCGTGATAGGTGTTCTATGTCAAATGTCATGCCAATTGTCAATGTCATATGAGTTGTCGAAAAGAAAGGTTAAGACGGCGTCTCTACAAAGAATTGTAGAATTGAAGTCGATTATTATAATTCGTGTTTTGTATTTCTTTAATAAAAATCGTTCGAGGAGAATTAGTATTTCTGGGAAAGAGTACTATAATAGGTTTGTTCTTACAACAGTCAGAAATGGCCGGTGGTCGTCAGGAGTCTGCGCAGTCATAATTTAGGCGTTCCAACAAAATCCACAAACGAAACAGACGTAATTCTTCAGTAACATGTTGACAGACCGGTTGAAACTTAGAAATATCATAGTTTTAATTTAAAAAATTATAAAAATTTTAATCAACTGATTGCACATTGAGGGAAAAGTCGTCAGTCAGACCATTGAAATTTTCGCGCGCCTTTGGATGCATGAGCTCAATTACACATTCTTGGACCGACTGATGGTCATTCCCCCACTATAAATGTAGCTGATTAGTATTTTTTTACTTCTATAGTCAACAGTCATATAAAAAATTTCAATAGGTATAAAATAATTTTACTTCTTTCATTTTTCTTACATGTTTAAACGCCTAGCTGACGTGCAACCCTTCCTCTACTGCGCAGCTGACTATTTTTTTTTTCAACTCGACGTCCTTAATGTTTGACAAAAAAAATCAGGTGGTATAAAGTACTTTTGAAACCATTTTTTTTACATGTTCGCCTTGTTCTCCTGGTCCACCCCCGGGGGTGCGTCAGCTGACTTTCATTTTCGTTGTCTATCAACCTTCATTTATGACTAGAGTTATAAATCTAGCGAGATAAAAACACTACTCAAAATAGACCCCTGCCTCCCTGGCTAAAAGCTTATCAGCGTCGATGGTGGACACATTGAACAATTACTTTAAAATATTATTACGCAATTCATTTGTGTTATCAAAACGTAGTGATGGTTAAATTGATTTTTCTCGAAAACAGATAAAGATCAAATGAAATCAAATCGAAATGAAACAAGAATACATAATTAATGTAAAAATATTTGATCTTTCATCGTTGTTCAAGCCGAGTAAGATTGTTCATTGATTGCCGGACGCTGTGAAATATTCCAGGTGTGTCTTCGATCTGTATCCGTAACTCGTCCCAGTCGTTTCTCATGGTTGGAGACAGGAGTCTCGCATACTAAAGATTTTACATGCGAATATGTTATGCAAACTTGCTTATTTCAATGCCCTTTACTACAATCCCTATCATTTCAAACCAACAATTATGAAACGTCCTGTATAGAGGCACTTACCCAACGTATTCTGTATTTTCGACGGTCAAACCGTGCCTGAATGATAAATCGCATCGAACCTCGCCAGGTTAGGGGCTGAGAATGTAGTGACTCTAATTTGGATCCCTGGACATCAGGGAATAGAAGGCAATGAGGTAGCCGATAATCTAGCCAGAGAGGGGGCCATGGAGCAACCTGGTAGGCTGATAGTTGGAATGCCCTTTGCAGAATGTAAACAATACCTAAACAAACTCCTAGAAAGGGAACATCTCGTTTGATGGAGGAACTCGACAGGCTGTAGGGTATCCAAACAGTTCATGGAAACACCCTCAAAAGAAAGGGCAACCGAGCTCTGGGCTATGGACCGTGACAGGCTGAGCAAAACGCTTGGACTACTCACAGGACACGTAGCACTCAGAGCGCCTCAAAATACCGCCTCAAAATAGTAGAGCAGAAAACATGCCGTCTATGTGGGGAGGCTGATGAGGACAGCATACACATACTGTGTCACTGTCCAGCATTATCCTTGCGCAGGTATAATACCTGGGGAAGGACCTCATTAGATCCTAGCGATCTCAAAAACACAAGGGCATCCGAACTGCTGAGGTTTGCAAATACTTGCGACCTCTGGCAGAATCAATGACCTTGGGAAACAGCGGGAAACTACAGAGGATCATTAGATCTAGGTGGTCACGGGGCTGGAAAGACCGCCCGCATAAAAACAACAACAACAACAAACAACAACATGTTATGCAAACTTGCTTATTTCAATGCCCTTTACTACAATCCCTATCATTTCGAACCAACAATTAAAAACGCCCTGTATAGATGCACTTACCCAACGAATTCTGTATTTTCGACGCTCAAACCGTGCCTGAAGGATAAATCGCATTTGAGGCGGCTCCTGCGACAATTGAAACAGACGATGGGCGTTCGGGCGTCGGGAATCGCGTAAATACGCTCGAAATCGTCCCGGTGCTGTCTGAGCGTTTTCGATACCAACTTGACGATGCGACCTTGGGATTCGTAGTCCTGTTTCCTTTCGCCATCGTACATGCCGCCCACATCGAGGAATACGTCCAAATCGCTACTCTGAAAATCCCTCATTTTGATGAGAATCAAAATGAACAAAAATATTTGAAGCTATGAGGGTAGCGGAGAGGTAGAAGTGGTAGAAAGGGGTGTAAGAAGGTTGTAGGGAGGGGAAGAGGAGGGAAGTAGGGAGGTAGGTAGAAAAAGAGGAGGGTAGAAGGAAATATAATTCATCCATTCAACCAACGGATTAACTAAAACAAGGTTAGACGCTGGATTAATGCGTGATCACCAGTGATTGGCCAGCGTAAGGAGGGTTTTTTCTTTTGCCCAATAGATGCAAATGTGCATAGTGATCATAGGTAGAGGTAGGTAAGGGTAGAGATGGGTAGAAGAGGACAAGGATAGATAGAAGCGGGGATGGGAGGTAAAGTTGGTTTATTGGTTCTTGTGACTGGGTTAATAAGAGAATAATTACAGTGTTGCTACGTTTAAGATAGTTACCGAGCATTTGCCTATAAATTTTTTCAATAGAAATTTTATTTAAACATCGAACTGAATACGGGCCACTGTGTATCTTATGCCCAATTTCACCAACAAGTTCCTAAGATAGGAATTACTCCAATCGAATACTTACCTAAATCGAATTTCACCAACATTAGAAATTACCTACTAAGAAATACTTACTCCTTACTTTACCTAGAGGTAAAAATTTGATTTCGACAATTTTTTGTGTGCCTACCATTTTGTGCTACCAATGTTATTGGGTAGCATTGCATAATTTGGTCGTGTAAACGGAATAAGTAGAAATCGTAATTGACATATGTTAAGAGAAAAGAAGAGAAGTTGATGATCTGGACCATCTTGAAACTATGTTAGTTATTTCTAAAATTGCTGAAGATGTAAAGATGTAGACCGTTCATTAATAGAAAAGTAGCTTTTCCGATTTCTAAACATTTCTGCATCTTCTCTTCCAAAACTTTGGATCTTGGATCCCTTCTATGTGGAAAAAATTCCTTTTAACAGTTAGTAGCTCTTCATTTGTAGTTCATAGCTGCAGTTACCCTTTTAATTACTTGACTACTTGTTTTGGGAATCACACCTGACAATTCACCAATGTATGTAATCGAAAACGGCGAAAGAAATCAGTTTGTTTAAATTCTCTTCTCATGTCAGATTTCCATCTAAAGACAGCTAAGTCTTAAGTCACATGAAGAGTACAGTTAAGTATTTCCTAAATGTTTTAGGCAAGCCCAGCGAGCTGTCCTAACTTTAGGCATTTCCTATAAACTTTAATGTCCGATTTCACCAACCAGTTCCTAAAGTTAGGTATTACCTAAACCAGATTTAGAAATTCCTAAGTACAATTTGCGTTTCACCATGCTCTAAGTAATACCTAAAGGTATTGGGAAATGCATAGTTAGGACAGTTCACTGGGCTTCCCTAAAACATTTAGGAAATACTTAACCATACTTTTCATGTGATTTCATGAGACTTAAGACTTGATTGTCTTTAGATGAAAATCTAAAATGAGAGGAGTTTTTAGCAAAGGGACGAAACTGACTTTTTTCGCCTTTTTCGATACATAAAAATACGGCATTACAAATAATAGAGAGAATTGAAGATGATTTTTAATTTGAAACACAGGAAGCTTTTTGATGGACAAACTGGGGACTTAGCAGGTGTGAGTCTCAACAAAAGTAGACGAGAGTAATCAAAAGGCTAAGATCAGGCAAATCGGAAAGGCTATTTTTCAATTAATGTACAGACTACATCTTCAGCAGATTTAAAAATAACTAAAGTTTAAAGTTGGCCCGGATCATTAACATCTCTTCACTTCTTCTCAACATATTCAATTACGATCTCCGCTTATTCGGTTTACACGTCAAAATTAGGCAATGATGCCAATAACATTGAAAAAATTGTCGAAATCAAATTTTTACCTAGGTGTTTCTTAATATGGGATTTCTAATGTTGTGAAATTTGATTTAGGTAAGTATTCGATTTAAGTAATTCCTAAGATAGGAATTACATAGTTAGGAAATACATACGAGTACACCGTGCTTCATTCGCGATTGCAACATGGGCATTTCTATGAGTTGAACAAAGAAAGATTATTATAATAACAGTTGTCAAATAAAACTGACAACGTCGCAACCTGCGATAATACAGGATATGAATTTAGGCGAATGTATGAATGTAATGATTTGCCATATAATACATAATAATGTAAATAATTTGGTCTCTTAGTTATAATGTCTTTGGTTATTTGGAAATATATCTGTAGAACGTAATAGCTTTGTTTCAACTCGATGCAAAACTACGATCTTAGCGTTCCAACTTAATTTGTACGATTACGAGTTGATATACACACACCGGCAAATTTAAATTTAAAGGAACAGATTGAAAATGTAATATATTTCTATATTTTATAGTCTACATCTAGATAGCTATCAAGGTTTTTTGTCATAATTAAAGTTTTTAATGTCAAAATGTCAAATGTGGGCGTTGTCTGTTGTCAAAACTTCAAAAGTTTGTTTTGTGTCTTACATTTTAAACGCGTGTTACAGAGATAACAATAAATTGTTATTAATTAATCAGTTTAATTTGTTCGGATTTGTTGCTATTATTTTTTATTTGTTATCAATTTTGTTTGTATTACAAAGAGCAGCTAATAATAGGTGACTTAATACCGACTAATATTGCCAAAAATTAAATTAATTATTGAAATAAGTTCAAAATGTACAATAAAGTTATTCCCTTTAAAACCAGTATTTTATTTTAAATCTGACATCTTCGACTTACTCTCTCCTTCAACAGGTTGCACATGATAAATTTTTGTAAAAAGTGCGCCAATTACTTCACCTAACTTTGTGTTAAGAAATATTAACAATATGTATATCATAGAAAAAATAATTTAATTTTATATCTGTTCCTGTAAATATGCCGGTGTGTGTGTAATTCGTTCCAACTTAAAAATAATTGGAACAAAATTGGAATTTTAATTTGAACATTTGTATTCAGGCTTTATTTTAGATTATAAACAACTTTCTTTTATAAAAAAATTGTGTAAAATAAAAAATAATGGTACTTCTCTCTTGAGGTATTTTCATGTTTTCTTAATTTGGCAACACCCTGTAGATCCAATCTAAGATTTTTCAGTGTTTTTCTCATTTTTAAAAGAAGCCAAAATTTTTATAAACAATGACTTTTTGTCGTAAAATGAATAATAAAAATTTTTCTCCTACGGGCAACCCAATCCGTGGACACATTGTACATACAGGGTGACCCAGGGTCGCGTTAAAGTCCCATAACTTTTTACCTAATTGAAATATCGACTTGATTTTTTTTTTCAAAAGGTAGGTACAATAATACTGCATATTATTAAAATAGTTTCGTCTATATACAGGGTGGATTAGTAAATATTATAACATTTTTGAATTCTTTAGTGAATTTTAGTGTGACTTTATGTACCATACATTGTACCTAAAACCAATCGTTTAGTGGCAATTCGACATTTTCGAAAAAAGTAGAGGTTTGAAAAAAAAAAATGAATATTGCCGCTTTTGTAAAACTTAGAAGGTCGTGACTCTGGGTTATTAGTAAACATGAAATGTACTACTGTGTGACATGAATTCAGAATTGAATACTGTTTGTGTTCTTAGATATCGATAAGCAAATTTACAAAATTTCAATTAAAGGTAACTTGATTTTTTTTAATGAAACTACCTACTTTTTTGTACACCATCTTGTAGGAAACTTTATTGCCTTTCTAACGATATAACATTGTCAATATTTTTACCTGCTAGTTTTCTTTTAATTCCGGAATTCCTTATAATTCGCGGTAATTTTCACGGCCTAACACTATAGACATTGTCCTTAACAAATCCCCATAGGAAAAAATCAATTGGTGTCAAATCGCGGGAACGGGCAGGCCAACAACAGCTAACGACATGAAGATCCGGATAAGAGACGCTTTTCGATCAATTGATCAAAACATGCTAACGACCCGCTCCTCGCGAGTTTCGAATTTGAATGACCATAACAAGCAATGTTGCCAGCTTTACAATGCGCTCTCAAGACGCGGGCCGTCAAATCAAGTGGTAGGGCGCGTTGAATAAGGAACGTCGCTCGACCCGGTGCTTTTTTGATGTCTGGCATTGTACCTCGATATCTCAATTAGGTAAAAAGTTAAGGGACTTTAACGCGACCCTGGGTCACACTGTATCTGTAGAAAAAAAACTAAACCAAACAAAATTCTTACCTCGTTTCCCAATCCGCAGACTCGCGAACCGAACGGGTAAGCTTTGCAACGCGACGTTCCACCCAATTTGGCATTCATGATGGTTTCCAAGCGTTTACAAAACGCTTCCGTGACGGACGTGCAATTTGCCACCATATCGGCCTCGATCGCCATCGAATCAGCTACTTTGTTCAATTGTTCCGCAGATGCGAACGTTGTTCTAGTGAAATCGGATAACTCGTCTGGTAGAAAACCAAATCGGCATTATCGGGGGCTCAATTCTCGACATTTATTCACATGGGAATAACAAATTTTGACACGTGAATTAAAAATTCATATTCTCGACAAAATCACGTGGATTTTTTTTCACACAAATAGTGTACGAATATTTTCACACGTCGTTCATTTGTTGATAATACCTATTTTTAATTCACATGTCAAATTTATAATGTCATATTCCCGTATGAATAAATGTCGAGAATTGAGCCCCTATAATTTTGATAAACTTAAATATGGAAGAAGCAGCTCTTCTTAATTTAGGAATGTTAGAAGAGGCCAAGATATTGGTCCATATCATAGACCTATTAAGTATGGACGCGGCACTATCGGTATTTTGAGGTTATTCAGCGTTCCCAATGAGAGAGAGAGAGAGAGGTCCGTGAGAGATGGAGCTAGTTTGGGCTAAAAATAGGCGGGACCAAAAAAAATATAAAATATATACAGGGTGTGTGGAAAAAGGCGATTAATCTGTTAAATTATTTATACGCTTAACATTTAAATATTGTTTTTATCTTGGTATCCACTTGGACAGAAGAATGACCTGGAAGAAACATATTTTTTACAAGAGAAAGCAGCTAGGTCTTAAATTGTGAAATCTGTACTGGCTAATAGGTAGGAGGTTCCAAATAACAATACAAAATAAGAACTGTATTTGCAAATTCGTGGGAATTTAGGCTCAGCTGAAAAATGAATTTTGCTCGGTAAAAAAATTCTAAATCCTCAACCCTATTCTACCATAAGCTACCATCCTCTACCCCAGCTACCTTGCATTTCTGAAAACGTAACTCACGTGGTCTTTTGCTTTTTTACTATATTGGCTAATGCATTGTCCAATCTCTCATTGCCATATACCCAAACTAGCTGCATCTCTCTCATTCATCGACAACACTACCTCTGTGAGGTACCGCGTCCATAGTTAATAGGTCTATGGTCCATATTTATAAAAATGAAGTATTTACTTTAAAGTAAAAGGTAGAAGCAAAAAGTAAGAGAAAAAGGTTTTAAAACCTTGCTTTAAAGTGGAATACTGGAGATCCTTTAATAACTTTAAGTGATAAACAATTTATAGCGTTATTCAGGCTATACAAAGAAGTACCATCAAATCTTTTTAACAAAACATGAAGATGAAACATATTTTAAATAAGACATGACAAGTTTGCTGTCAATGCTGTCACATAGTCAGGAATGTCAACATAACAAATTTAAAATGGTGAAATGTGATTGGCTAAATATTTACACCTTTTCCAGTTGTATATTAGAAAGCATTAAATGTATTTCAGAATAGTCAGATTTATATCAGAAAACGTCAAACATATTTCAGATTAGTTAAATGTAGTTCAGAATAGCCAAATGTATTTCAGACAACGTCAAATGTATTTCAGAATAGTCAGATTTATTTCAGAAAGCGTCAAATGTATTTTAGATTAGTCATATGTACTTCGGAATATATCAAATGTCGTTTAGAAAACATTTCAGAATAGTCAAATGTAGTTCAGAAATCATTGTATATCAGAAAGCGTCAAATGCATTTCAGAATAGTCAGATTTATTTCAGAGTATCAAATGTATTTCAGGTTAGTCAAATATATTTCACAATAGCCAAATGTATATCTTATGTCAATTGTTCATTATTATTAGGTGCACCATCATAAATGGTTTTGTAAATTAAACTTTTATCGTTGTTTGTATATCAATCTATGTACGTTTTACAACCATTCTTTGAGTTTGTTAAAAAACGAGCAAAAACAGAAAATCGTATCCAAAGGGTAAGGGGGAGGAAGAGAGTGCATACTCAGCTCAGGCTGAAATTAATGGCTGAATGTGTACAAAGTCAACATATGTATACATGAACGCTGCATAAATTTCATTTGACACTTTATGAACTATATTTTACTAGTCCAAACTACATTTGACACTTTCCGAACTACATTTAACTAATCCGATATACATTTGATGCTTTCTGAAATAAATCTGACTATTCTGAAATGCATTTGATCTTTTCTGAAATTAATTTGATAGCTTCCGAAATACAACTGGAAATGGTGTAGTGACAAAATGGATATTTTCCAGTATTTGCAAGAATTTTTAATTTCGGTGCAGGTCTACAAGTTTATTACATGTTTGTTTACAACAAAAACTGAGTGTAGCATGCAACATTTTTTTGAAGAATTCATTGATATACAAGAATTTTTACATATGTAACTTCCTCAATTTTGAATAACATTTAAATACATTACCGGATCTGTATGAGCGTAAAATTTTATTTAACTAGTTACGCATACCTTTTAAGCAATATAAATGGTATCATCATAAAGTTGATACCATACAGAATCATATTATATTTTTAAAACTTAGATAAAGTCTACCTATTTTAAATTTACTTGCACGAAAGGAGAGTGTATTTTTACATGTATTATTTTGCCACCATTTGTCAGTAAACACAGCCTTAACAAATGATAACTAAGAACTAAACTGATCGTCTAAAAACAGCAGCATTTGCAAACTGAACTGAAAACTGTACTGAAACTGAACGGAGAACTGATCTGATCGTCTAAAGGTATCTTAATGTGTAACACTGGACACGATGGAATTGAAGGCAATGAAGTAGCTGATGAATAAGCAAGACCGGGGGTCATTGAGAAACCTAAAAGGCAAATCGTTGGACTATCATTTGCCGAATAAAAACGACACTTTAACCAAATTGTAGAAAGAGAAGTTAAGTTTCCAGTTTCTCTAAAACCAAGACTGATTTATTGGATGATTTCCCTAAAGATACTATCGGTTTATTGAGCAATTTTGGAAAGATAGAAAACGAGCAGTTTTCGAAAAATTCATGCTCGCTTTTGCTTGTAGCGTAATAAGTTGTCTTCGTTTAAGCTTTATTGCCATTTGGGCTATTTTATCTTGGGTTATTTTGACGGGATGCATGTTAAAAAAATGGTAAAAAATATGTTCATGACAAAAGATGACATGTCAAAATTTGAATTTGCAAATATTTTTTTATCATTCGTTTGTGAGATAAAGCCATTGAAGTTTTTAAATTGTCATACTGTTTTTAAAGTGTCATAACTATTTTTGTTGCCTTGGTCACGAATAATTAGGACTTTAAGATGCGTTCGATAATACATAAACAAACACTGATAAAATTGACATTAATGACATTTCGCATAACAGAAGTTTAATAGAGGTGGGAATCGATTTTTTTATAGAGGTTTAGTTACGACTGTTACAAAATAAGCGTTATTTTTTAAATATCGCTCTCTTGATTATTATACTCTATACTCTATACTCTACTCTACTCTACTCTACTCTACTCTACTCTACTCTACTCTACTCTACTCTTCTCTTCTCTACTCTACTCTACTCTACTCTACTCTACTCTACTCTACTCTACTCTACTCTACTCTACTCTACTCTACTCTACTCTACTCTACTCTACTCTTCTCTTCTCTTCTCTTCTCTACTCTACTCTACTCTACTCTACTCTACTCTACTCTACTCTACTCTACTCTACTCTACTCTACTCTACTCTACTCTACTCTACTCTACTCTACTCTACTCTACTCTACTCTACTCTACTCTACTCTACTCTACTCTACTCTACTCTACTCTACTCTACTCTACTCTACTCTACTCTACTCTACTCTACTCTACTCTACTCTACTCTACTCTACTCTACTCTACTCTACTCTACTCTACTCTACTCTACTCTACTCTACTCTACTCTACTCTACTCTACTCTACTCTACTCTACTCTACTCTACTCTACTCTACTCTTCTCTTCTCTTCTCTTCTCTTCTCTACTCTACTCTACTCTACTCTACTCTACTCTTCTCTTCTCTTCTCTTCTCTACTCTACTCTACTCTACTCTACTCTACTCTACACTACTCTATAAAACATCCTGTATATACTTACGTTTTCTCTCTTTTTTGAACAAGTTCATGCTTTTAGGATGATTCTTTACCGCCGAATCTTCTCCGAATATTATTAAATTGCAAGTCATACATTGATACTCCCCTAATTTTTCTTCTTTCAATTCTTTCGTATGACTAAAAAAAAAATAAAATCATAAACAATTACTATACAGGGCGGCACGTTAGTGCCCCATACAGCTCTAATACAGGGTGCCCCACAAGGAGTTAACGGTTTTTAATCAAAATATTTTCAAAGATGGTCGATTTCCGGTTTTACCGGACTGTCATCTATAACTTTGTTATTTTAAATGGGACACCATATTTTTTATTACCATTATGATTCGTCTGGAAGCAATCTAAATGATTCTGAACAGTTTTAAATTGGTCGAGGCACTTGTAAATAATGTCAGAGAGTTCTAAATGGTTCTGGAGCGTTCTATATGATTCTGAACGGTTCTAAATGGTTCTGGAGCGTTCTATGTGATTCTGAACGGTTCTAAATGGTTCTGGAGCGTTCTATGTGATTCTAAACGGTTCTAAATGGTTCTGGAGCGTTCTATGTGATTCCGAACGGTCCTAAATGGTTCTGGAGCGTTCTATATGATTCTGAACAGTTCTTAATGGTTCTGGAGCGTTCTATACTATTCTGAACAGTTCTAAATGGTTCTGGAGCGTTCTATGTGATTCTGAACGGTTCTAAATGGTTCTGGAGCGTTCTATGTGATTCTGAACGGTTCTAAATGGTTCTGGAGCGTTCTATGTGATTCCGAACGGTTCTAAATGGTTCTGGAGCGTTCTATATGATTCTGGACAGTTCTTAATGGTTCTGGAGCGTTCTATACTATTCTGAACAGTTCTAAATGGTTCTGGAGCGTTCTATATGATTCTGGACAGTTCTAAATTGTTTCGGAGCGTTTTAAATAAATCTGAATATTTCTCTGAATGATTCTAGAGCGTTTTAAATAGTTCAGAACTTTGTAATGTTTATCGTGTACAGTTCCAAAAGATTATGAATCAATTTATATTTATAATTTAAAGAAATATAAGTTTTTAGGTTTTTTAAGGTTTTTTAAGATTTTTGGGTTTTTTAAGGTTTTTAGTTCATATTATGTTAAAAACAAAAAATAGAAAAGATATGTTTTTTACCTTACCGTTTTGCTATTACAAAATAGATGAATGCTTTAAAAAACCGTAAAATTGTTAATATGAATCTTAAAAACCCTAAAAAAAACCTTTAGCAAAATTGCTAAATTTTGCTTAAATTTTATACTTTACGATGTGTATATTTGATTGATTTTAAGAAGATTTATATCAATATATGTCCTCTTAGTTTTCGAGAGTTTTTTGAAAAAAAATTAACTTTTCTATCATAATTTTCTTATTACTCAAGTTATTTTTAAGAAATTTTGTACACTTTTTAATTATTAAGGAGCATTATTTGGGGCATAAGATTTTTTTTAATTTTTACCAGTGACGTCCTTACGGGGTTTGAACTGAATATGTTTGAAGAAAAAATGGTACACCACTGCTTTTTTTATAAAAACTATTCTTTTAAATCCTTATCTATTTTGTAGCAAATTCGGTCAGAAGACTTACTTTCGTACGACGCACCATTTTCGCGTAAAAAAATAAAAAATCACAACAATTTTTTCCCAAGTTTATTTGAGACAACTTTTGATGAAATTTTGTTGAAATTTGATAGGCGCCCACTATACATGGAAACACTTTTTTTGGGGATAAAAATTAATTTTCTACCATTATCAGTGACCGTAATAAGAAAAATATGATAGAAAAGTTATTTTTTTCTAAAATTTTAACACCCTGCAGCTCGAAAACTAAGGCCCGATTTCACCAACCAGTTCCTAAAGTTAGGCAATACCTAAACCAGATTTAGGAATTCCTAAGTACAATTTGCGTTTCACCATGCACTAATGCCCGATTTCACCAACATGTTGTTAGGTACTTCCTAACTAGGTAATTCCTAAGGTAGGAATTACTTAAATCGAATACTTACCTAAATCGAGTTTCACCAACATTAGAAATCCCTTACTAAGAAATACCTAGGTAAAAATTTGATTTTGACAATTTTTTGAATTTTATTGATAGCATTGGCTAATTTGACGTGTAAACCGAATAAGCGGAGATCGAAATTGAATATGTTGGGAGAAAAGATGAGATGTTGACGATCCGGGCCATCTTTAAACTATGTTAGTTAATTTTAAATCTGCTGAAGATGTAGTCAGAACATTAATAGAAAAATAACCTTTCCGATTTGTAAAATATTTCTACATCATCTTCTCCAGGACTATGGATCTTTACATGCATGTGTATGGTCAATAGTTCCAAAAACTTCCTGTGTATAAAATTAAAAATCATCTTTTATTCTTTCTGATATTTGTAATGCCGTATTTTTATACAGTGTGTCTAGTTAAGTTCGCACCATATGGAAAACTTTTTTATTATTAATTTTACGAAAAAAAGTTATTCTTCATAAAAAGTTCTGCATGTTTTAAAACCTAAAATACAATCACCAGATATCTAATTTTTTTAGTCGTATACGAGGTTAGTCAGGAAATATGAATTTTGCTCAAAAGTGAAGTAAATCTAATTTTGAAAATATTGGAAATTGTTAATCATCTGTTATCTCTTTATTCGTTAAAAATTTTATTACATTTACATCTCTTAACCTCTATGTTGCATTAGTTTGATTATGCATTGAAATAAATGACAACAAAATAATTTATTTTACAATAATTATCGACTACATAAAAACATTGCTAGGTGTTGATAGTTTAAAGAAGAAAAATAGATTACCTACTTATAATTGGATGTAATTACATATTTGAACGTAATTTTTAGTTCTGATCAACTTTTCTTAATAACAATTTCCGATATTTTCAAAAATAAAGGTATTTTACTCTTGAGCAAAAAACACATTTTTTTGACAAACCTCGTATACGGATTAAAAAAATTGTTATCTGATGGTTTTAAAACATGCAGAACTTTTTATGAAGAATAACTTTTTTTCGTAAAATTAATAATAAAAAAAGTTTTCCATATGGTGCGAACTTAAGTAGACACACTGTATATCGAAAAAGGCGAAAAAAAATCAGTTTCATCCAGTTTCTAAAAACTCTCCTCCCATTTTAAATTTTCATCTAAAGAGTGTAAAGACAGTCAAGACTTAAGTCACATGAAATCACATGAAAAGTATGGTTAAGTATTTCCTAAATGTTTTAGGCAAGCCCAGTGAGTTGTCCTAACTTTAGGCATTTCCTATTACCTTTAGGTATTACTTGAAACGGTGAAACGCAATTTGTAGTTAGGAATTCCTAAATCCGGTTTAGGTATTACCTAACTTTAGGAACTGGTTGGTGAAATCGGGCATAAGTAATACCTAAAGGTAATAGGAACCTACCTTAGGAATTACTTAGTTAGGAAAAGCCTAAGAACATGTTGGTGAAATCGGGCATAAGAGATTTAGGTTATACATTGATATAAACTATTCTTCTTAAAAACATCCAAATATTCACATCCTGAAGTATCGGTATACAATTAATTAACGCCCTGTATATTAGAAATATCACTTACTCTTTCATAGCGTCAAAATGTCGAATCCATCCGCTCTTTTTCATCGCCACCTTGCATATCTGACAGAAATATTGGTAATTCTTCTGTCTAATTTTTCCCAATGCCGTCATGTGAGCCTTCGATTCGATGTGGCGCAGTAAATTCTTTCTATCCGATAGAATCATTTTGTCGCACAAATTGCATTTGACCGACGTCGAAGTTTCGTTCTTTCGAAAATGATCCGATTGGGATAGATACCTAAAGGGTAAGAGGAAATTCCAACTGTCCGGGTTCGTTAGATCGTACGATGGTCTCACATCGTGTATTCCTGTTAAGGACAATTATTTATTATAACTGGTGTCCCACGACGAGTTAATAATTCAAAATATATGCATTTTTGAAAAAAGTTTTTTAGGCGAAAGTACCCTAAAATTTTACGTAGATTTCGAAAATGTATTAATATACAGGGTGTTCTATTTGAAATAACAAAGTGGATGCCTACTTCCGGTGTATCCGGAAGTGGTCAAAATGTTGGTCAAAATATTTATAAGAGGTTCGTCTTATCGTATAACATACAGGGCTTTTCACGGTAACCGTCCATTAGAAGTATCTCAATAATGAAAAGACTTAAAAATCTGAAATTTTGGTTATAGTATTTTTTAGATAATTTGAATTGATCTAAAATATTTTCATTTTGATTACACTTCCGGTTATACCGGAAGTTGACACCAACTTCGTTTTTTTAAATGGAAAGTGCCATTTTTAACTTCATTTTTGAATTCTATGGCCTTTTTTAACTAGACTTTCATAATAACACCATATGCCAAAAATGCACCATTTTTAAGATATTACAATTTTTTTGATCTTTTTTGGAAAAACAGTCCAATGTATTTTCTGTGATATCTCTATTAATAATGCAACTAGAAGCTTGAAATTAAGTATCGATGATGTCCAAACACACTTCTAAATGAAACTATACTCTATTTTCAGAATCCATATACAGGGCATTTAAAATTGTCTGACAAACTTGGCCAAATTAAAGTGGCCATAACTTTGGTATTTTAAATGGATCACCCTGTAATTTTTAACAGTGACCAATGCAGTTTTTTAAGCCCTTTCGATCCATATGGGTATTCCCTATACCCAAATCCAGTAGTTTTTGAAATAATCGAAGTCTTATTAAATAAGGTATAAATTTTCTTTTTTTTTTGAGTTTTCTAGTTGGCCATTTCTAGAATGCAATAGAATTATTAGTCCAAAAAATTATTAATTCAAAAAATACTATAGCCAAAATTTCAGATTTTTAAGTCTTTTCATTATTGAGATACTTCTAATGGACGGTTACCGTGAAAAACCCTGTATACATACCAAATATTATTTAAAGCGGATAAGTAGTTTCCAATATACAGATAGTTTTAACTCGTCGTGGGACATCCTGTATTTAAATACAAGTCAAGTACATTTTTTTTAATTATTTGTATTTGTATTTAAATACATTATTCAAAGTATTTTTATACGTATTTACATCTATTTTTTGGACAATCTGTATATGGGATACTTTTAAATCAGCATTACTCTTAAATCAGAAATATTTTTAAATCAGCAGTACTTTTAAACCATAAATACTTTTAAATCAGCAGTATTTTTAAACCATAAATACTTTTAAATCAGCAGTACTTTTAAACCATAACTGCTTTTAAATCAGAAATATTCTTAAATCAGCAGTAATTTTAAACCATAAATGCTTTAAAATCGGTACGTACTTTCCGATGAGTCCGGTGCAGAATTCTCCTCATTCGTCCCAGAACCGTTTTCGATTCCGTAACAGAGCAATTGCAAATCCATCAGAAAAAACGAAGTCGGCTTATTTCGGAAATTTCTCAAAAACATATTCTTGTGTCTCGCGTCCAATATGTGTTCGGCAACATTGCGAATTTTTACATCGGTTCTACACATTCTACAATGGACCGAATCGGTATTGTGCTGAGCCGGCTGGAAGTAAACCTGAAATTGAATCCAGAAATCCAGGATTTTCGATTTGAATTTTGTTGCTTAATTTATTAAAAAAAAATTAGAAACAATATACAGGATTAGTCACGCTACGAATACTACGACAAGTGATTCTTTGTAAAAATTTTTGCTTCTTTTGAACATGAGAATAACGTTGTAAAATCGTACATTATATAGGGTGTTAATTAATAGAATGCCGATATTTCAGGTGAATATTTGGATATTTTTAAGAAGAATAGTTTATATCAATGTATGTCCTAAACCTCTTAGTTTTCGAGATACAGGGTGTTAAAATTTTAGAAAAAAAATAATTTGTCTATCATAATTTTCTTATTACTCCCGATATTTTTATGAAATTTTGGACGTGGACGTCACTGATAATTATAAAATTAATTTTTATCTCCAAAAAAAGTGTTTCCATGCATGGTGGGCGCCTATCAAATTTCAGCAAAATATCAAAAGTTGTCTAAAATGAACTTGGGAAAAAATTGTTTTGATTTTTTATTTTTTTTACGCGAAATTGTCTTACGAAAGTAAGTCTTCTGGCCGAAATTGCTACAAAATAAATGAGGATTTTAAAAATAATTTTGCTAGAAAAAGCAGTGGCGTACCATTTTTTCTTCAAACATATTCAGTTCAAACTCCGTACGGACGTCACTGGTAAAAATAAAAAAAAAATCTTACATCTCAAAAAATGCTCCTTATAAATTTAAAAGAGTATACAAAATTTTATAAAAATATCGGAAGTAATAAGAAAATTATGATAAAAATGTTATTTTTTTTTCTAAAATTTTAACACCCTGTGGGTCGAAAACAAAGAGGTTTAGGACATTAATATAAACTCTTCTTCTTAAAATCATCCAAATATTCCCATCCTGAAGTATCAGCATTCAATTAATTAACACCCTGTATCTACAATTAAAAGTTAAAATTCCTTATTGTTTTTTATTGTACGCAAAATTTTTATATGAGAAAGTTGTTTATGGTCTAAAAAAACTTGATATAAATTTTCAAATTGAAATTCCAATTTTGCGTGTTTCAATCGTTCGTAAAGTTTACAAATAATTTATTGAAAGAAGGGCAAAATGTATAGAAGTGGGAGGCATCTAAAGTTCGTAAGTTTTCAAAATGACAATAACGTAATTTTTAGTAATTTCCGCGCCATTCCAAATTTCCCATTCCAATTCTCCCATTTGACTAACGGAAACGGTTTCTGTAGAGGGGCTACTAACAAGGTCAAAGGTATTCGAACCTGTATTAAAAAACTTTTAATTTTATACAGGGTGTGTATCAAAATTTTACAAAATTGAACATAAAAAATATCAAATTTCTTCATTTTTTTAAATGGAACCACCCATTTTTTCTATTTTAATAAAATCAGCTGTGAAAAATGGAAGTTCATGTTTACTTCCCTATACCTAAACTTAATAGTTTTGAAGATATTAAAAATTTTACATAAAACTTACTTTTCTGCCTTATTCTTAAATAACTCGGTTTTACAAGATGGCCATGTAATATCCTACAAGTACCAAAATTAATAATAAATTATTCAAGAAGAATTTACATGGCCAACTTATAAAACCTTTTTAATTGAGAATTAGGCAGAAATGTAAGTTATAAGTAAAATTTTAAGTTTTAAGTTAAATTGAACTTTTCTTATTTTTGACAGCTGATTTCACTAAAATAGAAAAAACTGGGTGGTTCCATTTAAAAAAATTAAGAAATTTGATATTTTTCAAGTTCAACTTTTCACAATTTTTGTATACACCCTGTATAAAATAGTGTTTTTTTAACACAGGTTCAAATAGCTTTGACCTTTCTAGTAGCCCCCCTACAGAAACCGTTTTCGCATCTTTAAGGGATTCCCCGTAAAAAATAATTTATAAGGGTCTGCTTCGGTCATATTTTTCAAAAAAGAATTAACAACTCAAAAAGAATGCATTTTTAAAAAAAAGTATTTTAGATAAAAGTACCCTAAAATTTTACGTAGATTTCGAAAATATATTGATATACAGGGTGTTCCATTTAAAAAAAGTTAAAGACTGTATATCAGGAAGTGGTCCGACTATCAAAATATTTTAAGGTATGTCTTACTGCATAAAATGTACATACCAAATTTTATTTAAATCGAATAAGTAGTTTCCTATACAGGTTTTTTCACGGTAACCGTCCATTAGAAGTATCTCAATAACGAAAGGACCTAAAAATCTGAAATTTTGGTTATAGTATTTTTTGGATAATATGAATTAATCTAAAATATTTTCATTTTGATTACACTTCCGGTTATACCGGAAGTTGACACCAACTTCGTTATTTTATATGTAAAGTGCCATTTTTAACTTCATTTTTGAATTCTATGGCCTTTTTTAACTAGACTTTGATAATAACATCATATGCCAAAAATGCATCATTTTTAAGATATTACAATTTTTTGATATTTTTTGGAAAAACAGTCGAATGTATTTTCTGTGATATCTCTGTTAATAATGCAGCTAGAAGCTTAAAATTGAGTATCGATGATGTCCAGACATACAACTAAATGAAACTAAACTGTATTTTCAGAATCCATGTACATAAAAATCCCCTCGTTTAAATTTACATTAACCGAATTTTATGAAATAGGACATCTTCTTTTGTTGAATAACATGTACAAATAATACATTTTTGAAAAGTAGAAGAGTATATTTTTCAAAAAACCTCTACATATACGGGGTGTTTCATTTAAAAAAAATGGATACTGTGAATTTAAAAAAAGAGATTTTGATAAAACACCCTCTATTGGTAATGCATAATTTCTGTATCACTGTAACAAAACTTCTAATAAAATAAAACATATTTGCAGTGATGTTAAAATTACTTTATAATATGTAATTAATTACAATTACAATTACTTTTGGCAAATTGTAATTTATTGCAATTACAATTACAAAATTTGCGAATGTAATTACAATTACAATTAAAGTTACATTTGCAATTACAATTACACTCACAATTACTTTGCTTTGGTGTCAGTTTTAAATAATTATTTAGGGATTTGTAATCGGAATTAAACTTTCCACCTATTGAAAATATTAAATAAGTACTTTTGTGTCCAATGTAATTGAAATGTAATTGTAAAATGTAATTGTAATTGTAACGAAAGGAGTAATTGAATTACAAATGAATTACAATTGAGGATCTTGTAATTAATTACCGCCTCAATTACAATAAAAGTAATTCAATTACTTTTTCAGTTACTTGTAATGAATTACTTAACAACACTGCATATTTGTGAAAACCGTATGTTTTTATAATTAGACATTTAAAAATTACGAGCTCATTAAAGGGGCTACTTTTCATTGGGACACCCTGTATATTAAATTAAAAAATTACAATGAACAACCACATTTCCATTAATAAACCCCCATTATTTTACCTGATGAGCCTGGAAATTGGCGTCCAAATTCAAAAAGGCCAAATGAAAGTTGTTCAAATTCATCAATCGAACACCATCGAGGGCCGCCTGCGCGTGTTTGGGCCCCTTTACGTGCTGCACGAACACCTCCCTCTTGCCGATTAGATGCTTCATACACAACAGACAAACGCACGCCGTCTCAGAAATCCTCAGCAGGCAATTATTAACAGGAATCTGCATCGATCGGAAACCTTTCGGGTAGAGCCGCTTTCGCACCGGCGGATCGTAGTCCACTCGAAAGTTAAACTTGAACGAGTTGTCTCCCAAAAGAGGCTCTTCGAGGGACTCTTCTTGGCTGCCGTCATCGACATCCGAGTCTTCTTCGGTATCTTCGCTGTTATTTTCGAAATTATCGCAATTTTCGGTGTGCTCGAGGGCATCTAAGGGGGCCGTTTCGGGAGTCTCGTTCAAAGCCTGCTGGGACATTTCCTCGAAATGTTCCTCGTCTTGGTGGGTTTCCGAAGCGTTATGGTACATTCGATAGGTTGCTTGGGAAATTGATTTTGTGATCTTTGTCAGAGTTGTTAACAAGCCAAGTAACTCTTGCCTTTCGCTTTGGTCGGCGTTGGAAACGGCTATTCTGCCGGTGCTGTCGAGGTAGTTTAGGAACACTTTTAATTCATTAATGGCTTGCCTGGCGGGCGTCGGGTGATTTTCCGGAAAACTCGATTCGTTTTCCATTAATTCAACGTCGTTTGTTAACGTTGATAATGTATTTCGATCCATTATAAATCGTATCAAACTGTATTATATCATTTAAAACGCAATGATAAAATAGTTTTATCTACTTCAAACCACTAACCACTTTAAGAGTTTTAAGGTTTAAGGTTATGTTATAAGAATGTCAAAGATTGACAGTATTGACAGTATTGACAGTATTTCGGTTAGTGGCATGTTGCTAGCACCGACAAAGGTCCAATTTTATTCATTATTAGTACTAATTATGTGGTCTCGGGCGGCTCGGGCTCTAGAAAGGAATCAAGGGACTTAAAGATAACAATGCTAAAAACACAAATATTTGAACAAAACAAAAAAAAACTAAACAATTTTATGTCGACTCGACAGTCGTCTTGTCATTTCCGTCACGAATGTCACGATCACGGATCACGGTCGTACATATAGGTCTGGAAACTCCGTTAGGGAGTGCTAGTTCCTAAAACGACTGGTAGGCGCGAATTTTGTGAAGGATATTTTTTTAACTCAACATATAGAATAATTTTATTTGTCACCAAAATAAATCCTCTGATTATTAGTTTCAACCCCAGAAATATTTCTTTTTTCTCAGATTTATACAGGGTTGGGCAAAAGTCCGGAATAAAATTATTATCTGTTGAACCAGTAATTTAAACAAAAAAAACGCTGAAACACGTAAATTGATTTTATATTGGACGGATTTGTTGCCAATAAAATGATTTTTTTTTCTTCAACCCCTTAGTTGCAACCCTACCCAACTTTATTTTTTCAAATGCAAAGATATGTCATGTGTAGGGTAATTGAAAAGCTCGTGAAAAATGGAATCTGAAACATACCTTTTTTTTCTTTTTCTCACGTGGTTATTGAGAAATAAGCAAAAAATTCTTTTAATAACAAATATATTTTCGGAAAACTCGATTCGTTTTCCATTAATTCAACGTCGTGGAGCCTGTTAAGTAGAGGGTGGAGGACATTCCCAACATCTGCTACCTTAATTCACACGTCGATAGCACTAAAGAGGTATTTGTAACATATTTGTTTTTAAAAGAATTTTTTAAGAGAAGAACCCTACACACCCCAGATAACACGTAAGCTTGTGACAAGGTTGTCATGTACTTGTCATGTCCTTGTCATGACAAGCTTTGCAAGACAAGCTTATAAAAAGGTTAGAGTAAGGTTGTTTTGACAACCTTATACAATTGTCATAGCATTGTCGGAATAAGGTTTTCGTGACAAGCTTTTAATAATATTATTGCAAGGTTGTTCTGACAACTTTATAAAATTGTCATTTTCTCATCGTGACAAGCTTTACATGAGAAGCTTTTAATAATGTTATTGCAAGGTTATTGCTTAATATAGGCTTGCGGTTACCACGTTTTTATAAGGTTTATATGTAAGATTATTTTAAAGTTTATTTATAAATTATACTAAAAGGTTTATAGCTAATTTTGCAATATGCAAAAATCATGGGAAAAAGTTAAGCTAATAAGCTTGTGGAAAGATTACACTACACAACATACATCTATGAAAAGGCATACATTTGGAATACCTACATACTACAAAAAGTGAAAAGACATTTTGTGAAAGACATTTTGTATTCAATCCGATAATTTCCTATGAAGTTTTATTTTGTCTAATCGCTACTCGATGTAAAGGGTAGGGAGTTGGTTGGGTTGGGTTTCTAATTTTTGTGCCTTCGGTACTCGACTTTCTCTACTAGCATTGCTGACGTTATTGCCTTTTGTAAATGTTCGCTCTTAAAATTTGCTGCTGTTATTTTCCAACTAGTTTTTTTTACCTACCTTCATTTTTCAAAGGTAAGTGAAATATTTATTATTTCTTTGTATTTCGATATCATCTATGCCTTATGTAATTATTAATAGAATGTTTATTCATAGGTATCACTCGAAGACCGTTCAAGAAAATGTCCCAAAAGACCGATGCATTAGACAGGATTCCATAAGGATATAAATGAAAATATTGAATGATGAACAGAATAATTCCAGACGAAAAGTTATCATTAATTCATTCGTTTAAATTCATGATGAAGAATCAAATTAGATGAAAGTTAAGTTTTCTCGACGGAAAAACTAATTTTTTAAAAAATTAAAAAGTTACAAATTACAAAGCAGGGACCTTTATTAACATTCGAAGTTACATAAAAAGTGAGAATCGGCGCGTTTGCGTCGTATTTAATACATCGGATCAAAATCGTCGTCAGCAGGTTTATTTCTTATAGTAGTCAGCTGTTTCGGTTTCTTAACTCCTCCGGGCTTAGATGAGAACTATGGGGACGAACCAGATCCAGAGTTCGAAATAAACGGGAAGTGTTGCAGGGTTGAGTCCACTAGGTCCGCCTCTTGTCCCTCAGGTTTCTTCGATTCGTTCCTTTTCTTGATGGCCTTATAAATAACGTAGACTATAACCAGAAATAAAATTAAGTAAAGCAGAATAGTGTAAAAACTGATTTTTCCAAAGTGCACTGGAACAGAGTTTATATTTTTTAGATTTAGTTTGTCTTCCTGTAAAACACTTTTGATTTGATTTAGTTCATCTAGTTTGATAGAGTCTAATTTCACTGAATTTAGTTCGAAGTCTTTTGGAAATTCACTAAGTTTGATTAAATTGTCTAGATTAGGTAACTCGACATTTTCGAAATTTGGTGTCGTTGATTCGTAAGTTTTTAAAGTAATTTTGTCTATTGAAATTTCGCAATTGTTGTTTAGTTCAATTAAGTAAGTACCGTTTATTGGGAAGTTATTAATGTTTTTACCACACTTTTCAACACTAACTGTGTCGTTGGGAGAAATCACAATCCACTTGTTATCTTCTAGTTTTTGAGATTTCAGTCCACTAATTCTAATTGGAACCTGTTTGCATTGTCCGGCAAATTTAGAATACTTCAAAAGATGAACTTCACAAGGGGCATTCTCGGTTATGGCTATCGTTTGAACGTCTCGGCACAGAAATTCTTCGGTCAAAACTTCCTTGCATCTCGTTTCTGAATGTGCGTAGTACTGCTCGTTGACGAGAAGGAATTTGGATTGGGGAATTATTGCTTTAAAGGTGGTTTTTGTGTAGAAACTTGTACACAGTGTCCTTTTCCCGTTCAACCAGCAAACTTCGTGATTAGAAATAAATACAACCCTTTTACGTACAACATGTGTATTATTACCAAAAACTTAGGTTATCGTACTACAACCAAAAACATAAAAACAAAAGTAAAATGACGTTGACACCTGTCTTGTCTAAAAAGTGTCAATCTTCTTCTAAATTACTGGACAACAAATAAGTTGAATGCTAGCTATTCCAACACTCCTCCTCATTCAATTATTTGTTACATTTAATCCCATTCGTTCTCGCAACATACCATGTCGTTTAGGTGGTAATGGCTTCGTCAACAAGTCAGCCAACATATCCTCTGTAGAACAGTAGACGCACGATATGTATTGTCGCTGCACATAATCCTTGACAAAATGAACCCGAGTGTCAATGTGCTTAGTTCGATTTGACAATTTCTCGTCCTCGATAAGTTTTAAACAGCTTTGATTGTCCTCATAAATTGTTGTTGATGCTTGAATCGGCTGCTGGAAATCACTGAGTAATCTTCGCAACCAAAATGCCTCCTGACATGCCTCCGACAAAGCGATGAACTCGGCCTCTGTTGATGACAACGCAACGCAATTCTGCCTCCGACAAGCCCAACTGACGACTCCACCATTCAAAACAAAAACGTAACCCGTGTTTGATTTACGGTTTCTTCTGTCTTCAGCCCAATTTGCATCAGCATATCCGTAGAAAAACGCCTCCGAATTGTCATTTCCATTCAACGCCAACTTCAAATTTGCAGTACCCTTCAGGTACCTTAATACTCGCTTTAATTCATTCCAATCCCCTTGATGCGGTTGCTGCACTCGTTGCGCCAAAATTGATACACTTGCTGAGATATCCGGTCGTGTATTTACTGATATGTAAAGTAGACACCCAATGAGCTTCTGATAACTTGTGTTTGTCAGCAAAACATCATCCGTATCTGTCTTCCCATAATTTATATTCATTGGCACATTTGAAATTTTCGCATCTTCAAGACCAAATTCTGCAACAACTCTTTGAATATACTTTGACTGACACAAATGATATATGTCATTCCTGTCCCTGGTGACTTCCATCCCAAGGTAAAATTTGATTTCTCCCAAATCCTGTAGTTCAAACTCCGATACAATGGCCTCTCTCACCTCACTCATAGCTTCGACTGATTTCGCTGCCACAACTATATCGTCGACATAAATAAGCAGAAATATCCACTCACCATCCCTTTTTCGTGAGTACAGACACTGATCCGCCCTACTCTGCAGAAAACTTGCACCGACTAATACCTCATGGATAGTATCGTTCCACGATTTTGCAGCTTGCTTCAGACCATACAAGCTTTTCTTTAATAAACAAACTAGTTCACTATTTTCCTCGAATCCAGGCGGCTGTTTCATGTATATTGTCTCGTTCAATTGCCCATTCAAAAATGCCGCTTTAGCGTCCATGTGCTGTACGATGAGCTTCTCTTTTGATGCAATCGATAGTAGCACCCTGAACGTTGTCTGCCTTGCAACAGGAGCAAAAACCTGATCATAATCTGTTCCATACTTCTGTGAGAAACCCTGCGCGACCAACCGTGCTTTGTATCGATCAATTTTTCCTCCTGCATCAGTTTTTACCTTATAAACCCATTTGCAGCCAATCGCCTTTCGATCTTCTGGCAATTTACACAAATGCCAAGTTTCGTTTTTCTTTAATGAGTCCATTTCGTCTTGCATTGCCTTTACCCATTTTTCTTTATTTTCGCTTGACAATGCTTCTGATAGACTCTTCGGCTCTTCGACTTTATACACCATATCTATCTCGTCGATCAATCTCCGTGCAGCTACACCCTTGTTCTTACGCTGTGATACTCGACGCTCTGGCACTTCATCACCTGCAAGGCCCTCATTATTCGTATTGCCATCGTTAGATTCTTCATCGAACAACCGAACCAGACCATCAGCAAATGATTCAAAATCGTTTGTCGCCGTATTTCCGCTGTTGCCATTACCGTTCGTTGATTTATCAATGTTAAATTCGACACTGATACTTGATTCAACGTTCGTATCATCTGATGTTTTATCGATCCTTATTTCATTCTCAGAATTTTCAATAAAACGAACATCTCGACTGATCACCAATTTGTCTTTGGCTGAATCGAAGCACCTGAATCCCTTTGAATTTTCGTCATAGCCAACAAAAACCATTGGTACTGCGGTATCATTCAAATTTCGACGTTTCTCGGCTGGAACATAAACATAACATTTAGAACCGAAAATTGAAAAGTGTTTAATACTTGGTTTTATTT